GGTTTACCCCGGGAAAAGGCGGGTATTTTTCTACGACAAGGTAAAAAAATACGGTAAATTGCAAATTAGTCCTTAATCTTTGCTTCGTTTGCATTTTACCATTGACATGTCAATGAAAGGCACGCCTTAGTGCAAACGAGTCGAGCCGAGTCGAGCATTGGTCTTATCGAGCAGGACTGAATTTCTTTTTTAGTTGTTCGAGCTCGAGCTCGTCGAGCTCGATTTATGAAGCTCGAGCTCGACTCGATAAGAAAATACAATGGCTCGAGCTCGACTCGAAATCAAAATGCTCGAGCTCGGCTCGAGTTCGGTTCAAAAATTTTTAAGTAAAAATATAAAATTACCATTAAGCACACATGCAATTTAAATATATATAGAAGGGGTATTTATTAATTTAACATATATATCGAGTCGCTCGAGAATGTAAACTATGGGCTCGAGCTCGATTCGAATTCGTGTTCGAGCCGCTCGAGCTCGACTCGAGTTTTGTTAAAATTCGAGCTTGAGTCGAGCTTTAACTCGAGCGTTCGCGAGCAGCTCGACTCGTTTACAGCTTTAGGCACAAGGTTTTTTTTGCAAATCAAGCACAGAGACAGAGGATTCATCACGCATCTATCAATTGGGTGCAATTTCTTATTAAATAATGTGACAGGGTCCATTTGCAATTCTTAAATGTAGCTCAATTTAATTTCTTATATTATCCTACACTTCATTGCAATGAGGGATGCTCATCTAGCCACGGTGAACATATATTAATATGCCCACCGTTTATGTGGTATGCACTCATTGGTGATGTATTTTTTAAACATATTAACATCACCAATGTATTTTTTAAACATATTAACATCACCAATGTATGCATGTCACATAAGCGGTGGGCATATTAACACGTGTCCACCGTGGGTAGGGGAGCATTATCCTCGTTGCACTATATATATATTATATATAAAATAGTCAATAAGTCAATTTAGTTAGAACTAGCACATGATCAAGACAGCAATATCATCACTGGACAAAATTTTATTCTATGCTTACTTGGGGCAGTGTACAACTTGCTCCAATAAATTAAGGGGCTAATTATAGAAAATGCCCTTGATGTTTAGCTTAATTACAAAACGACCAAAACTAAACTATGGAAACTGATTTGAACAGGCACACCTACCCTCAGAGACACCTTCAGGATTGGCTGAACTTAGAGAAGGTGAGCTCGAGGACTTGAGAGGGAATGGGAAGGGGTTAAGGTTGGCAAGTGACAGAATATACGACTATGATGTTTATAACGATCTTGGCAACTCGGAAAAAGGGCCCGATTACGTGAGGCCCACGCTTGGCGGGTCGGAAAAGAGCCCGTATCCCAGAAGGTGTCGGACGGGACGCCTTCCAACACCCAATGGTATGAGCTGACATGCATGCACATCGAGTCTCTATGTCTATTTGTAATTAGCCCAAACACATTGGTGTCGAAAAACTAAAATAAAAAAATTGCAGTTTTGGTCCACTAACTTTCGGTACAGTATTTTTGGTCCACTAGATGGATAACAATATTGTTCTAAATATGAAACTATTTTTCGTAGTTTTGGTCCCAAATTGACCCGAATTGTCCAACACCATAAGTTGAGTTATCATGCTAACAATTTCAGTTGGCACAGATGTAAGCATAGAGTCTCCACCAAGTCCTTCAATGGCCTCCTATGTTCCTAGAGACGAAGACTACAATGAACGTAAAAAAGAGTTCATGTCGCAAGGAAAGACGAAGGCAGTAATCCGCAACATTATCCCGATTCTGATAGCCAAAATTTTTGGCGAGGAAAACTTGTATTTCTCAGTTGATACCGCCAAACACCATCCGATATTGAAAATTGTATCACTGGACGAACGGGTCAACAGAAACCCATTATTTAAAATGCTCACAAAACTACACGGGACGATTGAGAGGATGGCCAAGGTGGAACCTCCAAAGTATATCTCGAGTGCGTGCCACGAATTAACTTCACCTATTTCATACTCGATATACCTATGATCATTTTTCTTTTCCTTGACATTTTCTTGGGATTCATCAGAGGATGTGGTGTGGGGTTTGCCAGATGACGAATTTGGCCGGCGAGCACTTGCAGGTGTCAATCCTATGAGTATAGAGAAACTAAAGGTAATATTGGTTTTACAACAATTGCTTAGCAAGATTATCGAAAATTAAC